CTCCTCCGCCTCCTCCGCAACCTCCCTCCTGGTCCCTACGCGTCCCCCTCCTCCTCCTCCTCCTCCTCGTCCTCCTCCTATTCAGCAGCAGCAGCAGCACTATCAGCAGCATGAGCATCAACATCAACATCATCATCATTATCATCATCATCATCATCATCATCATCATCATCATCATCATCATCATCATCAGCATAAACAACAGCATAATCATCATCATCATCAGCAGCAAAATCATCCGCATCATCATCATCATCATCATCAGCATCATCATCATCAGCATAAACAACAGCATAATCATCAGCATCAGCATCAGCATCATCATCACCATCATCATCAACATCAGCAGCAACATAGTCATCAACATCATACTCATCATCACAATGATCATCATTATCATCATCAGCCTCATCATCACCATCCTGATCATCCTCCGTATCTCATCATCATGATCATCATCATCATCACCACCATCATCATGATCATCATCATCGTCAGTATAATCATGATCATGATCATCATTATTTTCATCACTATCACCATCACCATTACCATCACCAGCATCATCATCACCATCACCATCATCATCATCATCATCATCATCATCATCATCATCATCATCATCATCATCATCATCAACATCATCATTATCATCACCATCATCCCCCACTGCTTCACCTTCTCCACCTCCAAAGATGTGGGGGACAGGGGCGAACCGGAGACAAGGGCGCGGCCCTGCCACCGCCCTCAGGGCCGCAGCACTGCGTCCCCGCCCTCACGCGGGAGGACGACGGCAGTGCACCAGCACCGATCCTGGCCTCCGTGCTCAGGACGGATCGTCTCCAAGACAAGGCAGCCTCCAGATGGGAGGAGCAGAGAGGAGGGAGGGCACGGAGAGCGGGAGGAGCACCCGTCCCCAAACGGGCCTCCCTCCACCGATGGCGATCTTCGGCGCCCCCGGGCAGGTGGTCTCCTCACGATATCGGCGGCCTCTCTGCCGGCACCCTCGTAGCTCATCGGATGGACCGCGCGTGGGGAACCTAGGAGGCACTGGTACTGCTGCTCCCCAGACCTCTCCTGGGGTGCGTTCTGACTAACATTTCGAGGCGAATCCAGCGGTGGCGACGAGGGCCTCCCAGGAGGCAACAAAAAGGGGAAAACGAGGCGAGGGTAGCGGGGGGCGAAGAGTTGGCCCCGGCGATGGGGTCGAGAGCCATGCAGGCACGGGTTAAAGGGCCCGCGGACACACAAAAATAAATAGACACAAATCCCAGCATTCCCTGTGGTTCCATGTTTTGTGGGTTTTCGTCTTCCCCCCAACTTCCCATGTTTTCCTGTGTGTGTGTGTTCCCCCTCCTGACAGGTCCTCGTTCGGCGCCCCTGAATGGTTTCGGCGCCCTCGGTCGGCCTTCGGCGCCCTCTGTTTGTTTTCGCCGCCCTCGGTCGGTTTTCGGCGCGCTTGGTCGGTGCAAATAAAATCACGACGTCGGAGCTCTGGGTCTCGTGGGTCCTCCGAGAGCCTTCCGAGACAGTCAGGGGTTCTCCCCTACAGTGGAGGCCAGTCCACAAGAAACCTTCCACAAGAAACCCGACCCCCCTGAGACCCCAGGACGTCCATGGATTTGTGGTGTGGGAGCGTCGCGCTCTCCGGCGCAAGACCATCGAAACCCAAGAAACCCTGGGCACACTGGAGGCAAGCAGGGTCTCTCCTGGCATGAACCTCCACTGTGTAAAGGGAGCTCTGCAGGCCATTCGGGACTCCCCGGGCCAGGGCCGCCTCTGGAAACAACCCACAGTGTCGCAGGGACCCTCCTCTTCCTTCTCCTCCTCCTCCTCCTCCTCCTCCTTCCTCCCCCCCCATCCTTTACATCACTCCACTTCCTCCTCCTCCTCCTCCTCCTCCTCCTCACTCCCCCCCCCTCCCCCTCCCCCTCCCCCTCCCCCTCCCCCTCCCACTCCTCCTCTCCTCCTTCTCCTCCCTCCTCCTCCTCCTCCTCCTCCTCCTTCTGTTCCTCCTCCTCCATCTTCCCTCCTCCTCCTCGGGCCCCCCCTGAACGGTGGTGTTCGTCCTCGTTGCGTGATCGTTTTCCCTCGTTTAGTCTTCCGTCCGCCTGCCCTGCAAAAACACGCAATCAAAACAAAAAGCGGCCCCCGAAAGCGCCGAAACACCGTCTCGGTCGACCCTTGCTGGGTCGTGCACGCAGCGGCACGCAGCGGCAACCAGAACAGGGCAGCTGCCGCTCCTTCAGCAGGCCCCACCCTCGCTGGCCATCAGTCTGAAGGATGGTCTTGCACGTGTCGACTGGTGTGATGACCTGGGCATTCGAATCAACGCCCGTACGTGGCGCGATTCGCCCACCCTCTATGCACCACGACGTCCTCACACATCGATGGCAATGTCTTCACGGCGCACCATGGTAGGGACAGCGACAAATCATCAAGTCCAAACAGCACCTGCTAAGAATACCACTGCCCCCGAGCTCGGAATGGGTTCCAACCAATGGCCTCCCTCGCGCGCTCCATCTCCTCCTCCTCCTCCTCCTCATGCACATTATCAAAAAATCATACAATCATTTTCTCCCTTCTCCACCTCCTCCTCCTCGCTCCTTCCTGTCTACTCCCTCCTCCTCCCCCTACTCTCTCACTCATAAAAAGTTCTCCTCCTCCTCCTCCTCCTCCTCCTCCTCCTCCTCCTCCTCCTCCTCCTCCTCCTCCTCCCTCCAAACTAGCCGTCGATCGCAGCCTGTCCCTCGAGCCCTCTCGTCCACCGCCCGCCGTCCGGCTCTGCGCTTGCTCCCTGCCCACTGCCCGGGGCCCCGACGATGCGGAAGAGGGCCCCCGACATTGAGGCGAAGAAGGTGGCCACACTGACGGGCAAGCTGGGGAGCAGCGCACCTCGCTGTCGGAGTGGGAGGCGCACGGCGGCGGAGGAGGGGAGGGGAGGGCAGTGGAGAGGGAGGAGGAGGAGGAGGAGGAGGAGGAGTAAAAAAAAAGAGGAGAGGAGGAGGAGGATGAGGAGGAGGAGGAGGAGGAGGGGGGGAGGGAGAGGAGGAGAGGGGGAGGAGGGGGAGGAGGGGAGGAGGGGAGGCAAGCTAGTTGCGCTCGCGTCATATCTGAGTCCTACAAGCTAGGTGCGCTCGCGTCATATCTGACGTCCTACCCCTCCCTCCCATCCCTTACCATGGCGCTGATTTTCACTATCCGCGGACGCGTGTCGTAGCGGAATTGTGGCTCCGCGCGCGCGTGCGTAGTGGGTGGTGGTGCGCGTGCGTGCGTGCGTGCGTGCGTGCGTGTGTGGTTGTGGTGGTGGTGGTGGTGGTGGTGGTGGTGGTGGTGGTGGTGGTGGTGGTGGTGGTGATGGTGGTTGTGGTGGTGGTGGTGATGGTGGTGCTGGTGGTGGTGGTGTGCTGGTGGTGGTTGTGGTTGTGGTTGTGGTTGTGGTGGTGGTGGTGGTGGTGGTGGTGGTGGTGGTGGTGGTGGTGGTGCGGCGCGGTGGTGGCGGGCGGATGGGCGCGCGAGAAAGAGGCCCGCGCTGGGGCGAGAACGGCATCCTGAACGACGGAGGCCAAACACCGATCCGAAAATGAGGCCCACGCTGCAGCGGGAGCACGATTCGGAACGATTCGGTAGCAGAAATGAGGCCCGCGCCTCAGCGAGAGCAGCATTTTAAAAAATTATCCTGGCGAAGGGCCCAACCATACGCAATTCCGAATGCCGCCGTTGTAAGTATCGTCGTTGGTGGAACACCCGATGGGGCCACGAAGCGTGTGAGAGGTGCGCCAAATGGAAGTGGAACTGCATGCGGACCCTGCCACTGGTGCCTTCGGTGGAGCACCCTGTGGGGCCGCGAAACGTGTGAGGGGTGCGCCGAAATGGAGGTGGAACTGCATGCGGACCCTGCCATTGGCGCCCTCGGTGGAGCTCCCTATGGGGCCGCGACACGTGTGAGGGGTGCGCCGAAATGGAGGTGGAACTGCATGCGGACCCTGCCACTTGGGCCTTAGGCGGAGCTCTCTATGGGGCCACGAAACGTGTGAGGGGTGTGCCGAAATGGAGGTGGAACTGCATGCGGACCGTGCCACTTGGGCCTTAGGCGGGGCTCCCTATGACGCCACGAAACGTGTGAGGGGTGTGCCGAAATGGAGGTGGAACAGCATGCGGACCCTGCCACTTGGGCCTTCGGTGGAGCTCCCTATGGGGCCACGAAACGTGTGAGGGGTGCGCCGAAATGGAGGTGGAACCGCATGCGGACCCTGACACTTGGGCCTTCGGTGGAGCTCCCTATGGGGCCACGAAACGTGTGAGGGGTGCGCCGAAATGGAGGTGGAACCGCATGCGGACCATGACACTTGGGCCTTCGGTGGAGCTCCCTATGGGGCCACGAAACGTGTGAGGGGTGCGACGAAATGGAGGTGGAACTGCATGCGGACCCTGCCACTTGGGCCTTCGGTGGAGCTCCCTATGGGGCCACGAAGCGTGTGAGGGGTGCGCCGAAATGGAGGTGGAACCCGCATGCGGCCCCTGACACTGGGCCTTCGGTGGAAGCTCCCTATGGGGCCACCGAAACGTGTGAGGGGTGCGCGAAATGAGGTGGGAACCGCATGCGCGACCCTACACTGGGCCTTCGGTGGAGCTCCCTATGGGGCCACGAACCGTGTGAGGGGTGCGCCGAAATGGAGGGAACCGCATGCGGACATGACACTTGGGCCTTTCGGAGGGAGTCCCTATGGGGCCACGAAACGTGTGAGGGGTGCGCCGAAATGGAGGTGGAACCGCATGCGGACCCTGACACTTGGGCCTTCGGTGGAGCTCCCTATGGGGCCACGAAACGTGTGAGGGGTGCGCCGAAATGGAGGTGGAACAGCATGCGGACCCTGCCACTGGGGCCTCAGGTGGAGCTCCCTATGGGGCCACGAATCGTGTGAGGGGTGCGCCGAAATGGAGGTGGAACCGCATGCGGACCCTGACACTGGGGCCTTCGGTGGAGCTCCCTATGGGGCCACGAAACGTGTGAGGAGTGCGCCGAAATGGAGGTGGAACCGCATGCGGACCCTGACACTTGGGCCTTCGGTGGAGCTCCCTATGGGGCCACGAAACGTGTGAGGGGTGCGCCGAAATGGAGGTGGAACCGCATGCGGACCTTGCCACTTGGGCCTTCGGTGGAGCTCACTATGGGTCCACGAAACGTGTGGCCATGATGGAGACGGCGATGATGATGACGACGATGGTGATAAGAACGATGATGATGATGATGATGCTGATGATGACGGTGACGATGACGATGCTGATGATGCTGATGATGAGAGGAGGAGGAGGAGGAGGGGGAGGAGAAGGAGAGGAGGAGAGACGCGGGGCACCGTCTCTTCAAAACGAGGACCCAACATCACAGGATGGTTGGGAACAAAAAAAATTATCCTGGTGAAGGGCCCAACCATACGCAATTCCGAATGCCGCCGTTGTAAGTATCGTCGTTGGTGGAACACCCGATGGGGCCACGAAGCGTGTGAGAGGTGCGCCAAATGGAGGTGGAACTGCATGCGGACCCTGCCACTGGGGCCTTCGGTGGAGCTCCCTGCTGGGCGCGAAGACGTTGAGGGGTGCGCGAAATGGAGGTGGAACTGCATGCGGACCCTGCATTGGCCGCCTCGGTGCGAGCTCCGGGCGGGGACCGCCGAAAACGTGTGGAGGGGTGCGCCGAAATGGAGGTGAACGCATGCGGACCCTGCCACTGGGCTTAGGCGGAGCTCTTCTATGGGGCCACGAAACGTGTGAGGGATGTTGCCGAAATGGAGGTGGAACTGCATGCGGACCGTGCCACTTGGGCCTTATGCGGGGCTCCCTATGACGCCACGAAACGTGTGAGGGGTGCGCCGAAATGGAAGTGGAACTGCATGCGGACCCTGCCACTTAGGCCTTAGGCGGAGCTCCCTATGGGGCCACGAAACGTGTGAGGGGTGTGCCGACGTGGAGGTGGAACTGCATGCGGACCCTGCCACTGGGGCCTCAGGTGGAGCTCCCTATGGGGCCACGAAGCGTGTGAGGGGTGCGCCGAAATGGAGGTGGAACCGCATGCGGACCCTGACACGTGGGCCTTCGGTGGAGCTCCCTATGGGGCCACGAAACGTGTGAGGGGTGCGCCGAAATGGAGGTGGAACCGCATGCGGACCCTGACACTTGGGCCTTCGGGGGAGCTCCCTATGGGACACTGGGCCTTCGGTGGAGCTCCCATGGGGCCACGAAACGTGTGAGGGGTGCGCCGAAATGGAGGTGGAACCGCATGCGGACCCTGACACTTGGGCCTTCGGTGGAGCTCCCTATGGGGCCACGAAACGTGTGAGGGTGCGCCGAAATGGAGGTGGAACCGCATGCGGACCCTGACACTGGGGCCTTCGGTGGAGCTCCCTATGGGGCCACGAAACGTGTGAGGGGTGCGCCGAAATGGAGGTGGAACCGCATGCGGACCCTGACACTTGGGCCTTCGGTGGAGCTCCCTATGGGGCCACGAAACGTGTGAGGGGTGCGCCGAAATGGAGGTGGAACCGCATGCGGACCCTGACACTTGGGCCTTCGGTGGAGCTCCCTATGGGGCCACGAAACGTGTGAGGGGTGCGCCGAAATGGAGGTGGAACCGCATGCGGACCCTGACACTTGGGCCTTCGGTGGAGCTCCCTATGGGGCCACGAAACGTGTGAGGGGTGCGCCGAAATGGAGGTGGAACCGCATGCGGACCCTGACACTTGGGCCTTCGGTGGAGCTCCCTATGGGGCCACGGAACGTGTGAGGGGTGCGCCGAAATGGAGGTGGAACCGCATGCGGACCTTGCCACTGGGGCCTTCGGTGGAGCTCACTATGGGTCCACGAAACGTGTGGCCATGATGGAGACGGCGATGATGATGACGACGATGGTGATAAGAACGATGATGATGATGATGCTGATGATGACGGTGACGATGACGATGATGATGATGCTGATGATGAGAGGAGGAGGAGGAGGAGGAGGAGGAGGAGGAGGAGGAGGAGGAGGAGGGGGAGGAGGAGGAGAGGAGGAGAGACGCGGGGCACCGTCTCTTCAAAACGAAGACCCAACATCACAGGATGGTTGGGAAAAAACAGCGAAAACCCGTTTCCCAGGAATCCTGTGTATAAAAAAACAATACGCGGGGGGGTGTCGGATATCTTCGGGACGCCATCAGGGGAAGTGGGAGAGTATTTTCACATTGTGTAATTGTGGAGTAGGAGGAGGAGGAGGAGGAGGAGGAGGAGGAGGAGGAGGAGGAGGAGGGGGGGGAGGGGGAGGGGAGGAGGAGGGGGAGGAGGAGGAGGAGGAGGAGGAGGAGGAGGAGGAGGGAGGGGAGGGCAGCGGAGAGGAGAGGGTTCAGAACAGGCGGTGGGAACCTCAAGCCTCCTCCGCGTCGCTGACTCCTGGGACGCGCACCGCTTCCTTGATACGAGTGTGCATCTGAAATGGTATCGCTGCAACTCGCGTCGGTGGGCCTGTCTGCATCAACACATCCGAAGCAGCCATTGTGAATTCACTCGTGCTCCCAGGATGCTGGCACGGATGCTGAAAACTATAGCCGACCGCCTGATGAGGCCTGGCATCAGGCACATAAGACAGCAACCGTTGACGAGCACGGGCAGAGCGGCACCGAGACGAGAAGAGTAAGATTTGTTTATGGCCGCGCCAGGTCATTGAAACTTGGTCAGCTGAGGCAATGCCTTCCGCAGGCGGATATCACCTGCAAATCGGCCAAGCAACCGGAACACGCCCGTGCGCGAGAGGCGTACCGAGTGACCCGCTGAAACTCCCTGCTGATGAACACTACTGAATGGACATCGCCGAGCCCATGTTTCAGGTGGCGAGATCAATCAGAACCTGAACCAAGGATCGCAAT